TATTTTCATGAGCGTATGCATGTTCTTATTTATTGATCTATTTATTTTAGACTATTGTACTATTGAGACAATAACACGTTTGCAGTGATTCAAAAATGTCATTATTTAATTTAGCAAAAAATATTATTTCAATTTGGAAACACTGCATTTTTACACTGTGCTGAGTTGAGAAATATTTCAGCATTATCACTAATCTGTGTCTGCGTTATCCTTGAGAACAAAGCAAGTTGACTCATGAAACCATGTGTTTATTATATCGCATTATTGACTTTAACAAATCGCAATATGACATTTTCCCCAAATGTTTCTGAGTTTTTGCTGTAATTGTAATTATTGACTGTGTCATTAAGATCTTGAGCACCAATGCTAAGCTTTATTCAGTCAGTGGTTTGGTTGGAAGAGCTGGAAGAGAAAAGTGCTTGAGAACAGACAGACAGAAGTTAGTAGTTCCCAGTTCAGATCTTTAAAACACTCTGACTGTAAACAGCATCATCTACTGGTCAGAACAGGCAGATCAATAATACAATAAAGACATGCAGACTGGATACATATATCAGTTTCATTTAGTTTTTACCAATACACACATTTTTTATGTAGGCCTAATCATTACAATTTACAAGCAAACTAGATTTTTAATTTAAGTGTTTTTCTCCTAAGGAAGTTTTGAGTTCATGAAGTGATCTTGATGCTGCAATGCTTTTCAATATTTACTTCTATGTTCCTCAGTGAAACCTGTAGTGACGGTGAAGCCAGATCAGTGTGTGTTCAGTGGAGAGAGAGTCACTCTCACATGTGTCATACAGGGAGGAGGAGACATTCAGTGGAGATACAGCTGGATTAGAGATGGAGAGACTGTCTATCCATATACAGAAGAGATCAGTTGCCCAGCTGATGTGTCTCTCAGTGGTGAATACAGTTGTAGAGGAGAGAGATCAGACTCACACACAGACTTCAGTGATGCTGTTACACTGACTGTATCTGGTGAGTCTTCATATTCACTTCTGTTTAATGATCATTTAATATCCATATTTAAACACTTATAATCTCCAGCCAAGAGACTTTAACATTCTTTGAAAGCGCTGGAATTTTCTTCCCAAAATTTATTAATTTATTATTTTTTAAATTCTGTTTGGTGTCACTAGTGGAAGCAGAAAAGACAAACACTCTTTTAAATCAAAATAAATTATATAGTTTACTGTTTAAAAAATAATGATAAAAACAGAAGACTAGTGAAAATATGAGCAATAACTCTATAAAAGAGCTGAACACTGCATCACTGTTCACTTACAGATAAACCGCAGCCGACTCTGACTGTAAAGCCCCAGAGTTCAGTGTTCACTGGAGACACAGTTACTCTCAGCTGTGACGTGGGAAGCTCAACTGGATGGACGTTTATCTGGAGGAAAAACTCAAACTGGGAATCCAGTGATGATGCAGGAACTAAAACTATCAGTGCTGTGAAAGTCTCTGATAGAGGAACATACGAGTGTAGAGCACAGCGAGGAAACTACTACACACATTACAGTGATGCAATACAGATAACAGTGAGAGGTAAGTACTCTTTTACTTTGTAGATTTTTTTTTTTTTTTTTTTTTGAAAAATACATGAAGTGTGTGTTTGCTCATTTCACAGAGAGACCCAGACCTGTAGTGAAGGTGAAGCCTGATGTTCGTGTGTTCAGAGGAGAGAGAGTCACTCTCACATGTGTCATACAGGAGACAGGAGTCTGGAGGTACAGCTGGTATAAAGATCAAGATAACAGCAGAAGAACAGACCAGATCTATTACAGCGCAGGACAAGACCAGATCTATATAATCACATCTGTGGATCGGTCTCATGCTGGTCTGTACAGATGTAGAGGAACTCAGACTGAAACCCCACAGAACTCAGAGATCAGTGATGGAGTTACACTGACAGTATCAGGTGAGTGTGTTCATCATTTCATCACATCACTTTAACCTGAAGACATTGTATATACACTCAAAAAAATGATATGTTGGCTTTACTTAACTTTGTTTTGTAAACAGGTTCCACCGGTTCCACATAACTATGTTTCGTTAAACAAACATAATATGTTCATGTTACTTCAACATCATGGAATTTGGTCATTTTAAGCGACCCAATTAAACTCTGAGCTAATGAGTTAATTAAGTGAATAACTGAGTGATGATTGAGCATTATTGAAGACACCTGATGTTAACAAACAGAATCACTGAAGGAGAAAACCGGAATGTTTAAGTCACCATTATGGAGATGAGTGCGTGTTTTAGTTGGGCTCTTGACCATTAACTTATTAACTTTAGATTTTGTTTGGTTGCTGTACATGAGTTATAACAGCCGGATGAACAATAAACAAAGGTGATCTGATGGTATTGGTTGTGTTTTAACATAATCATTATTTCACAATCATTTGACCTGAGTCACTGAACTTATATTAAACCCAATTTCTGAGTTAAGTTTATCTTATGGATTATAGCACCACTGTCATTGTAGAACATACTATTTTTAGCCTTTTCAATGAAATTCAAATGATCAAATTCGATAATTAAAAAAGAAACTTCTTAAAAAATATATATTTTGCGTAGGCACACACAGACATCAAGAATTAGCCTGTGAATCTCAGCAATGGTTGGTGACAAACAGATCATAAGCTCATTATTTATTCATGCAGCAATGCATGATGGGAGCCATGAATGAGTTTTGATTGGTGGCACCCAGAATGCACTGCAACATGCTTTATAATTGTCACCATTGTTGAGATTCACAGGCTAATTCTTGATGTCTGTGTGTGCCTACGCAAAATATTTTTTTAAGAAGTTTCTGAATTTGAATTTCATTGAAAAGGCTAAAAATAGTATGTTCTACGATGACAGTGGTGCCATAATCCATAAGATAAACTTAACTCAGAAATTGGGTTTAATATAAGTTCAGTGATTCAGGTCAAATGATTGTGAAATAACGATTATGTTAAAACACAACCAATACCATCAGATCACCTTTGTTTATTGTTCATCCAGCTCACGTACAACAGCCAAACAAAATCTAAAGTTAATGAATGAATGGTCAAGAGCCCAACTAAAGCAAACACTTATCTCCATAATGGTGACTAAAATATTCCAGTTTTCTCCTTCAGTGATTCTGCTTGTTAACATCAGGTGTCTTCAATAATGCTCAATCATCACTCAATTATTCACTTAAAGTCCCTGTAAAGTCAAAATTAAGTATGTGTTTTGAGTTTGTCACACCACAGAAAAATTAGTTATTAGTCACCCAGCCAAATTTGAATGATAAAAAAAGCCAGCAAGTACATAAAATAAGCTATCAAAATCTTGAAGAAATGAGCAGTATTCTCTGCTCTCAAACGCTGGAGGCGTGTCCACTGGCTGCGCTGAAACCACGCCCACTCGCGGGAAAGCTGCCGTCGACTCGCCACACTCAACTCTACAGCCGGAATAGATGCTCGCACGGTGGGCAGTGGGCACGCACTGCCGATGATGGCACCAGTTGTCGGCGCGACGGGAGGATGAAGGCTGAGGCGGGAGTCGGTTCGGCCCCATTCACCAGTAACAGCGGATTATCAGTGAATCCCTGACAGTTATCTCCGACGAAAGTTTATAAAACTATCCCATGTAAAATGATCACTTACAGAGGCGGGTGTTGGCGGTGATCCTCAGCTCTCCATCAAGGTGGCTCTTCACAAAATTAATCCACTTCTTCTTGATGTAATCGTTTTTCGGAAATTTAAATAAGGACACCGATCTGTTTTGTACGTGATCCGGTGATCGCATCCAGGTAGTAGGCCTACGCATTTCCGTGACGAAGGCATAGCTAGTAGCTAGCAATCTGTAGGCTGTGTTACTAATAATAGTACTGACAGTAACTCGCGGTTGAGCGGCAAACTGATGTGAATGTGCTCTCTATATTGTTAGGAGCGGCCAGCCTCAGCGGCTACAGTGCGTCATCAAGTAGGGGCGTGTCCATGAGCTCAAGGGCTCCAGTGCGTCATCGAGCCCTGTTTTAGCCCCGCCCAGAAAATCCGGAAAATAGCAATGGTGAAAAACTGTTTAACGGTCTAACTCCACAAATCAGTACCTCACAGTTCACAGTCTTTGTAATATGTTTTAGCAACACATTTCTAACATTTATAATGTGTTTAGAATTTTTTTTTGAAATTGCCTTTACAGGGACTTTAATTAACTCATTAGCTCAGAGTTTAATTGGGTCGCTTAAAATGACCAAATTCCATGATGTTGAAGTAACATGAACATATTATGTTTGTTTAACGAAACATAGTTATGTGGAACCGGTGGAACCTGTTTACAAAACAAAGTTAAGTAAAGCCAACATATCATTTTTTTGAGTGTAGAAAGTTAGCTCAGATTTACTTCATTATCTTTATCCTCCAGACATGTTCAGTTCATCCATGAGCTTCTGCTCTTCAGATTATCTGAGATGAATGAAACCGTCAGTGTAGCAAACAAGCCTTGAGACTTGATCATCTGTCCTCAGTCAGAGCGAGGTCAGGAAATAAATGATGTTACAGTAACTTACAGAGCCTCAGTTTATCTGTTCTCATGGCCTGAGAGTGTCGGCAGTTTTTCAGACTAAAATACTGTAGTAAAACTGACGCCAGATCAGTGTGTGTTCAGAGGAGAAAGTCTCACTCTCACATGTCACACACAGAAACATTCAGTGGAGATACAGCTGGATTAGAGATGGAAACCATTATATGAACATTTCAGTTTCACGGCTCATGTTTCTGATCAGTGTTTGTCTGAGATCATGACGGAGCCAAAGCCTCAAAACACACGAGAAAACATCTCCGGGTACGACTGTAACCTATGACTGTAACCTATGACTGTAACCTATGACTGTAACCTATGACTGTAACCTATGTTCTCTCAGAACAGGGAACGAGACACTGCATCGATTGACGCTGTTGGGGAACGCAATAATCATTTGTCCTCTAGTCAGTTTGTGTTTCTGTGTTTCTTCTCAGGTTTACCCACATCTACAGTGACTGTGACACCAGACAGTCCTGTATTCACTGGAGAAACAGTCAATCTGAAGTGTGTGATAAACTCTGATCACGGTAACTGGAGATATGAGTGGTATAAAGACAGTGTAAAGTTACAGACGTCTGGTTATCGTTACACTGTAAACACACACACTGTCACTATCAGAGGAGCTACTGAGTCTGATCAGGGTCAGTACTGGTGTAAAGGACAGAGAGATGGAAGACCAAACTCATCAACATTAAGCTCTGCTGTTTATCTCTCTGTGAAGGGTGAGTTCAACATCATTGTCCTCCTAAAACTAAAAACTTTCTCTACAAACTTTTCACTGATGTCTGTTAAAAAGGGAGGCGCTCGACAAGTTTGTGCGTCTCGTAACAGCGATACAGGCGTTACTATATTTCGTTTAATATTCCACTGATTAGATACATTTACTTCATTGACGGCTTTCTATTGTATCTTTTTTTTTTTTTTTTTTTTACCAGTTTTTTAATCCCCATTATACTCTCTGTTGGCCTTTTTTTTCATTTGTTATATGATGATATTTATCATATTTATTATTAAAAAGTTGAGATTATCCCCTTACTCATCCATAAACTTATCCAGGTCTGTCACATAACCTGTTAAAACTCTGAACTATAAATATTATAGAATAGAATATCATATTTCTAATAAAGGCTCATTGTAACGCATTGTGACAACATGCCCCGTCTGCACAACTGGGATTCAAACCCTGCTACTGTCTTCTGCTGTTAGATCAGCATCAAATAACTTTCTCAACTGTTAAATAATAGATTGGAGATTGAAATAATATCAGATTTGTCTAATTTTAAATAAACACAAAGAACACTGAGATGGATATCATCCATGATTTTTCTCTATATTGTTGATATGCCAACTAGTAAATACACTAAGGCCACATCCACACGAAATTTTTCCCTATTCAATCTTTTTTTCCCTATCCACCCTTGCTCTAAAAAACAATTCCGCAAACACGGCGTTGTCTCAAGAAATATCTGCGATTCCACTGAAACGAACTCAAACAGTGTCGTACACATGCAGACCAGTGTGTGGCGCTGTAATCCTGCACTAAACACAGAGGAGAAGACTTGGAGCTTGTGCATTAACCTTGTGTGCTGTATACAATAATAATAGGCTCAGTAGCTTCTTCTTTTATTTTATTTATTTATTTATTTATTCATACTAATAACTTTATTGAACAATATAAACAACCATAAATGGCCTGGTACAAAACATGAAAAGTCTTAATCAGACAACAGACAAGCATCATAGCATAAGAAAGAAAATTGAAATATTTTTAAGTAAAATAAAGAAAAAATACTACAAAAATACATTCAAGTGAATAATAAATAAAGCAATAAGAGGCTCAGCAGCTTCTCCAGCGCGAACACAAGCATGTAGTCACAGATGTTGCTGCTGTTACGTGACGCAGCGGTGCTGACACGTGGGGTGATGACATCATCCTTTCACCAAACGTGTGTTACATCTTGCTCTGCGTCAGTTTGTGCCTCGCTCACCCCATCCTCAGACATGCTCAGTTCATTCATGAGCTGCTGCCCTACAGACGATTAGCCTCGTGAGACCATCCTGATCTCGCGAGCTTTCAAGGTTTTACTCGCAGATCAGTCTGGATACTTTCCGTTAAAGAAAATTTGGGAGCAGTTCACCAAACGAACGTCCAATCAGCGTTGGCTTTGAGGCGGGTTGAGGTGTGACGCAACGAGAAGCGCGTCAGTTCAGTCTAAAGAACATGGCGGCTTCAGCGGATGAAACTAGCATCAGCGTGGCTATCGAGCAAGTTTTATCGTAATTACAGAGTATTTCTTCACTGAAAGAAGAGCAAAACACTGCTCTGGAGGCTTTTCTCAGAGGAAAAGATACGCTCTGTTAGTACGTCATATACTTCGTTGATCTGATTGGTTGATTTGGCCCGTCTATCACCAACATAGGCCAATCAGCTAACCAGTATTTTCGCCCCTTACCAAAACTACTTCAACGGAAGGTTTCCAGATGGATATGCGGAGCAAATCCATCTGGCGGAGTCAGGTTAACAGACGATCCCCTTCCGGAACAAAATATATGGGAATATACTGCGAAATATAATGCAATATATTACATAATACATGTCCATATATGGGAAACTAGTGCTTATATTTTTCAATATACTGCAATATATGCATTGACCATATGGCGATATATGAATACCAGTAGCGGGTGTATTTCACACCTAAGCCTTCAGTGGTGTCCTATCTGAATTAATCCACCGCTTAATACGCTTTTAATAGTGTAGCACACAGACTCTTTATAATTGTTGTGATATGCTGTTTTATTTTGCATTCGGACACAGCGACAGTCTCCGCAACACAAGACGATGTGTAAAGCTGCCCCATGCTCTCACACAGATTTGTGGAGGAAATCAATGAGATCAGCGGCACTTTTGCCTTCAAAATCAGATCTGGCCACTGATCTATAATGACTGGATAGCTCATGACGTCATAAACAGTGGAGCCACCGCGCCGCCATATTGGTATTCCCTAGTGAGCTCACGCGTATATTGAATCAATAGGAGATTTTATGATTCTATGAGAAAACATTGCATAGCGAGACACCGTTTTTAAATCTAAAGTCTCCCTGAACAGTCTTACAACGCAAACATCCTAAGCATTTAAATGGGTATTTGTTTAAAGTCAGAAATTATTCTTGCTTATTAAAAATTGCTTTGATACTGAGGAGAGGACCTTGGAGAGCGTCTGTCGGCTAACAGCAGGAGGCAGTAATGAAGTGTTTTATTTTGTGATTTGCCCTTTGAATTAAGAAGAACCTCCTCGTTAAAATGCGTTTAAAATATAATATTACATTTTTAAGCATAAATAAAACAATGAAAGATTTGTCACTGAAGAAAAGTTCATTGTATGTGTACTTAAAATATAGCTCTTTCTGATTGTGTTTTATAGATAGATCAGTTTGTTCAAATAAAGTGTTTGATTAGTTACCAAGAACATGTTCAGGAAATGCAAAATGAAAATTGTTTGGGTTAATGTACACCTGTTTCACCCCTTATTTACACTGCACACGTCTGCGGCGCATTACGGCTGTGACAGGGCTGCCGGAGCTGATCGTGCTCACTCTAGGCAATGCTTGTGTTTACACACAGCCGCCAACGCGGTGCGTTTCAGAAGCGTCCCAGAATCGTCCCTCCTCGCCGCTTTGCTAACGCCTGTTTCACACAAACTCCGTTTCCAGTGCATATTTTCCCCGTACCCATGTTAACAGGTTAATGTACGGTGGCCGAGAGAGCTCAACGCGCTGCAACTGAAGAAAACACATGCAAATAGAAAAAAACACATGCAAATAAAATAAAACGCATGCAAATTAGGAAAACATCTTCATCAGTTTCACAACACACGTGTGCTCCAAATACTCACAACACCACCAAATACAAACGCGCTGCAAAAGCTCACAACACAAATATAGAAACGCGCTGCAAATAACACAGAGCACAACGGAAATGTTTCCAGAGGAACCAAATAAGTGACGAACCCGGCTGGGACGTGCTGGCATAGATATCCATAAATCTATGCGTCCATACATATAGTTTTATGTCTACATGTATGGACTATGGGATAATTTTAGTATCAAAATGATTAACACGTGCAAGCACACTTATCAATGAACTTGATACATGTTGCAGAAATGTTTTATCCATGCCTTTCAACTTGTGTGTGCAAAATTCAAAATTGAATGAATGTGAAGCAATTTGTACAAATAGAGACATTTTTGTGAATACAAATGTTTTCCTTTGTATTAGTGTATCATAATTTGCACATGCAACACAGAAGACGTGCATGTGTGGATCAGGTGACGCGCGTGCATTCATTGACTCGATTCATTGAGTCGATCCTATTTGATTCTATTTTGAGACTTTCATTTCGCGGGTTTCGCCTTGCACGATCCACACACAGCTGTCTGAGAAAAGCTGCTACCACTAGATGGCAGTATTCTGCTAAAACAGACAACGGCAGCATAATCAAGCGTTCTTCCGCATTTAAGACGCTTAATGAGTGATATTGAAGCACCAAATTTAGTACACAATAATATAGGCCTACCCTATTAATAAAGCATACTTTATAGAGGCAAACATTACGTCAGATTATGAACAACACCCATAGAAAACCATTATAAAACGCTTAACGTGCAATCGCGCGTTGTTCAGTAAGGTGTATTGGCTACTGAGTTTAAATATCACCGTCTTACTGCATTGACGTTAAGCTTTTTCTTTATAATATGCTCTATGGGAGGAAAACTATATAGCCTACTACAGACAAGAGACTACATGAACGCAACGCACGGCGTTTCAAGTTAATACAATTTTCCTTCCTGTTAAAAAAAGGTGAAATTTCGCAGTTGCGTTCATATTATATGCTTATTTGTATCTGACTACACATTGTGTACATAGTATACAAGCAGGAATTTGAAAATGTCTGTTTTTAAATATTAAAGACGATTTTCGCAGTACATTTGTTTTCCCTTGACCCTTAAGCCATAGGCTATAGTCTTACTATAGCACGATGAGTTTTAACAATATGCAACCATTGTATATCGACATGAAATATTAATTGAAAATCAACTGGCGTAGCGGGCCTGTAGCTGCATATTTCTACATGAGAATGCTTTGACGCGCTAACCACAGCTCATGATGCACAAGGGAACGTCTGCCAATTCCACTAACTGCGTTAAAACCACTGATCTATAATGTCATTCTATATAGATCAGTGGTTAAAACGTATAATTTGTTTTAATGCAATTACTTTTTAAATTTAATAACAGACATTTTCAAATTCCAAAGCTCGTAGAAGGTTTCTGTAAGACTGACTTACAAGTAAAATTGGGACAATACTTCCCTTCATGTAGCCTGTATTCTGCAGAAAAATACTGTAATTCACCAAAAGGGTTTTTTCATGTTCAAAATGGTTGTAGTATGTTCAGTGACTAGACTGGCTTACTACAGGTGAAATTAGCCTATGTAGCCTATTTAGTAAACAATTATTATTTTATAAAAAAAATTACTGTAATTAACCAAACGGGTTTTTGGTGACTTACTACAAGTGAATAATGTAAAATTTCACCTGACTTGTCACTAGGAACGTACTACAACCTTTGGAACATGAATAGAAAAACAATTTACAGTAAATTAAACAATTGTAGGCTACTGTTCAATCGAGATATTGGCTGGACATAGTACAGTAACAGT